GGTCGAGATGCTGTCAATCATTCTCCAGTGTACAGGATGGCCTCCCAGGATGATGAATCATCTGATGCAAAATGTCAATCATATCAAGGTGGATGATATGATTTGGCTCTGTGTCCCCACCTAAATCTCACCTTGAATTGTAATAATCCCCACTTGTCAATGGTGGGACCAGGTGGAGATAATTGGATAATTGGAGTGCTTTCCCCATGCTGTTCTCATGACAGTGAGTGAGTCTCATGAGATCTGATAGTTTTATAAGCATCTGGCATTTCCTCTGCTTGCACTCATTCTCTCTCCTGACACCCTATAAATAGGTGCCTTATGCCATAATTGTAAGTTTCCTGAGGTCTCCCTAGCCATGCAGAACTGTGAGTCAATTAAACCTCTTTTCTTTATAAATTACTCAGTCTCAGGGAGTTCTTCATGGCAGTGTGAGAACAGACTAATACAGTGGAGAAAACCTGTTTTAAAGGGTCCACTTCCCTACCTAATATATTTATTATTAATTAGTTAAAAAATATGAAACACTGAACTGTAGTCCAGGCTGTTCTCAGAACTAAGGCTTCAGCAACAACAAGGAAGAGTCCCTGCCCTGAGATTACCTCCTAACTAGCAACATGACCTTGGGCAACATACATAAACTCCTGAAGGTTGGTCCCTTATCTGTAGAATACTAATAATAATATCTAAAGTGTACATTTTTATTAAGGATTAAATAAGTTTATAGACAAGTTCTCTTTTGTACCTCCCCTCAAATCCCATGTCCCCTTCCCACCACCCCTTTGGAATGATTTGCAACATCTTATCTAAGGGACTCCTTTGGTTTTAGATACCTTCAATTATCAGTGGGTTCTTGATCATGTTTGATGAAAACGCACATTTTGATGTTAGTCCCATCTTGTAATATTCCTTATTCTTTGCTTTTTCACATTTGCCATGGGAGTTGCTGGTGCAAACAACAGGTGGAAAAGTTTAAGGGCAAAAGGAACACTTGCTAAATAGAAGTTTATCTGCCATCAAAAGCCATCTGTTGGTCAACAATATTGGCAGACTGGCCATAGTACAGCAGGTACTGAAGCAGGCTCTGGGAAGTGCATGACCGTTCTATAGACAGACAGCCCCATGGAAATAGAATCCCACAGCAACTTTGAAGCCATGTACAACTCTCAGCCTAAGTTCCAAAAAATCTTCCATGATGTTTCAATTTGCAAAACAGAAGTATAAGCAGATCCATAGAAATTAAAAACGAATAATCTCCAAATCTCTAAACTTTGTTCAATGATGTAAAAGCATCTCTAAACTTTGTTCAGTGAAGTAAAAGTACTTATTCACTATAAGGTCTAGGCAAGTCCAGAAAACTTGCCCCTTAGTATGGCAATGGGACACCATCAAAGCCTCACAGTTGTTCAGTGCTTACAGGAAGCCTGGTGGCATGTCTCAAACCTTACAAGAGCCAAGAGAGGTGGATGCTGTAGAGATGACAATGATGTGGCTCAGGAAGGCTGAGGAGTGGGTGCAGCCTCTGTGGTGTAGACCTCCTTAGACCTTCTTCAGCACCAAGCATAGTGCCTTGAATTATTCAATCTTTAATGTTTTCTAAAAACAAAGATACGCATAAAGACCTATTTTTACGGGGTCAGGAGTCAAGAGAGATAGTCTATTACTTTGGGTGTGTCCATTTTTAGATTACTTCATGTTTGCTTACAAAAAGCCAACTGGATTTCTAACGTAAATGTGGTCTAGGCATATGTGTCCCCATTTCCCTGATGGACTTTTCCTAAGCCAATGTACAAGCTCCTCAGACTGAAAGAAATCACAGTTTTGCTGACCCTGTGTTGAGAGTAATTATTCAACATTTGATAAGAAGGCATAATAGGTTTCCCCAATTCAGGTAACAAAAGAGGTCAGGGTATCAGAAAGGATTCAGAGACCTGTTTGTGGGTGCACAATTTTCTGTCCCACATATCTCTGTATAAGAATATCAAAGTGTAAAAATGTGATTCTGCCTTGAACTCCTTCTACTCACATGGGTGAGATGAAATTTTAAATATTAATGGTTAAAGCAGCTGAGAAATGATCAACTAACTACACAGAATATAAAAAGACACTTCACTTGAAATCTGAGAAGAGAATGTAAAAATGCAATACTTGCGTTTGAGGTGTTTTTCTTACTTACAGTTTCTAACGGTTGAGAACGTTGGGTGTGATATGACAATTCATTTTGCACCAGCCCTGCTGTCAAGGCCTTCACCCAGATGTCTGTGTTGAGGTCCCAGACTTCAGATAAATGAGAGAACACGTTGACCAGGATGACAGAGAGAAACCCCAAAGCCATATGTGAAACTTGACTTCTCCACTGGCCAGGCAGCAGGAGTCTGAGAGCCTTGATTTAACAGCTCGAATTTGAATTTACTAAAGCCTCAAACAGCTGCAACAAAAAGTGAAAGATTTCTGAAAAGTAACACTGCTAAGTGTGGATAAATTCATTGTACTAATTAATCTTACTCTAACAGTAAAGTAATTCGATTTGAGTATCATCCACTGAATAGGGCAACATAATGGACAGTGAAATATACAGTTTCCACTGGTAAAGATTATAAATTAAAATTTTGATTTGTGTTTGCTTTGCTTTCAACTTTTAGTATAACCCATGGAGATTAAATTGGTCCTTAGAAGGCACACTACATACAGTTTGGTACCTGAATACAATGACAAACGGACATACATTATTTTTAAAAGATTTTCAGTATTCCACTGCCTAATTTCTTTTTCTCAGCAAGAAAACTGCAGTTTTCAAAGCATTTGATTTTGCAATGACTTATAACTAAATAATAAACCAACTTTAGAACGTGTCTTTTAGTGAACATATGTTCTCATTCATGTTGGCAAATATGTAAGGATGAAATGTTGGCTGTCAGGTGTACATATATTCAGCTTTAGTAGGTACTGCCTAATAATTTTCCAAAGTATTTTAGCAAGGTTAATTAATATCTTGTAATGTTAATGTTATAAAGAATAAGGTTTTCTCCTTTTCTACTGAGTATTTGGGCTAACATATTGCCTTATATGTTATTTTTTCTTGGAAATGTGGCCTCTATGAAATGAATGTAGATGCTTCTATCCCATTGATCACTGAACTCTGTTCCTAAAGGGAGTTGATACCCTCTGTGGCACCCTCATCTGGAGACAGACGTCCTGAGTTTTATCTACTTTCTTCTGTTATGAGTAAGCTATTTAAACTCCTTGTGTTTCAGTTTTGTCACCTGCAAAATTGGGATAATAATATCTCCTACCTAAAGGTGCCATAGTGTGAAATAAATAACATGACATATAAAGTGATTCGAAAAGTACTAGACACAATGTAAGGGCCTGAATTATGGGTTAACGCAATAAATTATAACTGCAATAAACTGATCAGTGGAATACCATTTTATTTGCCATTTTTCTCTTGGCTGACTTACCAAAAAGTAATAAAAGAATAAAAGAAGGTCTGCCAGCTACTTCTGGGAAACAGTTGTCTCTCTTTAAAAAGAGAGAGATGACTGGTCATGGTGGCTCCTGTCTGTAACCCCCGCACTTCGGGAGCCAGAGGCAGAAGGATCGCTTGAGCTCAGGAGTTTGATACCATCCTGGGCAACATAGTGAGGCCCCTGTCTCTACAGAAGAAACACCAAAACAGTTAAGTGGGCATGGTGGTGCATGCCTGTGGTCCCAGCTACTTGGGAAACTAAGGCAGGAAGATTGCTTGAGCCCTGGAGTTTGAGGTTGTCATGAGCTATGCTTGCATCATTGCACACTCCATCCTGGGTCGGAGAGCGAGACCACGTCCAGAAAAAGAGAGAGAGAGAACTGCACAACGAAAATATTTTTGTGCTGCTCTCACTATAGATTGGAAGTTTTCATGTGTGGACATGATATCTGGAATTTTGGCAGCCACCTTTGGCCCTGAAGAGACAAGAATGAGTAGAAAGCCAGGATCCCAAAATACCCCGACTGAAAAGGAAAGTCTGGTTTCCTGATGACGCCAGAGATCTGTGGACGCAACTTGCATTGACCTGACTTTGCATTTACTCTTAAGTACCCAGTAACCATAACTATCATTAACCTGTTTGTTAGGTGTGCCATGTCTTGCAATCAATGTGTCCTAAGTGATATAATTCAAAAGCCAGAAGGGGTAAAGACATCCCAAGGGATGTAGGAAAGGTTTTTCAGATGTGCCATCACTCTCCCTCCTCACTCCTGAAGAGAGGGTTCAGGAGCAAACCGACCATAGCATTCTATACAAATGTACAAGTTTGCAATCGGCGTCTCCTTCATTCTTCCTTCCCTCTTTCTTCCTTTGCTGGCCTCTTTTCTGCTCCTCAAGCACACTAAGCATCCTCCTTCCTTAGGACTTTTTCACTTGCTATTCCCTCTGCAGAAAGTTACTTTCCCCAGATGACCCACGCCTTTCTCACTCATGTTCTTCAGGTGTGCAAACATCACCTGGGAGACAGGCATTCTGTGTGTCAACCAAATCAAGTGCAAGCACTGCCCTCACTCTCTATTGTCCTTGCCTTGTTTTATAGACATCGGCACAGTCATCACAACCTGATAATTCATTGTTTATAGCCCCTTCCACCATATTATCAACTCTCAGGAACTTTGTTATTTATTTTTTGCCATATCTCCAATGTGTATAAGAGTGCCTAGTACGTAGAGGGTGAACAAGAAAACTTTGTTGAATAAATTTCTTCAACAGACATGGATGAAACACCTACTAGATACCATTTTATACACAAAATACATAAAATAATTATACATTTTATGTATAAAATTTTACATAAAATAATTTACTAGATCTGATGAGCTATCAGTTTTCTACAGTTAATGTGAAAAGTAAAGATATCTTAAGGGAAGCATAAAAATCATATTCTAGATATAGAATAAAACACATTATACTACTTTAAAATGCATTCACCCTTTGAAATAAAGATATAAATAGCAAAGAATTAGTGGTGATTAATGACAGTTGGTGATTTATAAGAGCTCCCTATTATTGCAAATTCAATGCTTCACCAGCTTCTGAATTCTCAGACAGATATGGATTAATTTCTATTGACAGAAATAGCAAAGTCTTTATTCTTGGGTCTGAAAAGGAGTTTATTTTAGACTAAGATGTTTATGCATATGATTCATTTCCTAAAGCCCTGAATATTAAGACATTCTATGGTGTGCTCATAAAAACCCTGCTTTGGAATCTCACTTTGGCATTATTTGATACCTGTTTTCAGGGTCTGTACCTTTCTGGGCTTTTGACCCCGAACCTGACTGTAAGATGCTGAAGAGCAGACACTACACCTTTACATTTCTTGCAGGCCCACAATGCATCCTCAAAGTGAACACATGCAAAAAGTCGGCACCAGGGATGTGCTGAATCGGGAGGAGGTACTGCTCAGCGGATGAGACCTAGGCATGGAGATCAAACAAATCGAGGTGAGATTTCTTCTGTGCCTCTTACTATCTGTGAGACTTTAAGCAAGACCTTGTCTCTTTAAGCGCCAGTGTCTACACTGACAGAATGCATGTAAAAAAATCAATATTTATCTCCTGAATTCAATCAAATCAATAGAAAAAATAAATAGATAAATATTGTCTAAACAAATAATAGCATTCTCTAATCCTGATTTTCTCCAAATGACTATTTCATCTTCAGTTACACCCTCTGACTTCCAGAGCATGGATTTTCTTCCAGAAAAATTTCCCTTTAAAGCCTGCCTCACATCACTTCTAATAGCGCTTTCTTCCCCTTTGCATTTTCTGAGTATTCTCTTAATCTGAGGTTCTCTATCAAGTTTTGTCGTCTAATTTCTATACTTTAGAACATTCTGTACTCATCCAGTGGACATTCCTATGAGGACAATTTAGAGAACTGGATATCTATGAACTTTTTTTTCCAGCAAGCCACAGATCTATACTTAATAAGTATGATAGTGCCTTAAAAATACACAATTTTGTACACATTTACCTCAAGGCTTGACATTTGGGTCCTTGTTAGAAATACATATGCTTTCTACTAATACTTTTTAAACTATCCAAGCAGATAACAACACACCCAGAACACAAACAGCAAAATGTTTGCAAGATAATTGGTGTAAAATGCCAGGAACACTTACGCATATCTTTCTTGGTTTGCAGGCTCCTCTCTGAAAAAAAGAGTCCAAATGGCTGATGTGCCACGGAGAAGAAATCTCTACAAGTTGCAGCATAAATTAATGTGACATGGACCTTGCAATAGAGAAGTCAATTCTTAAAATTAGAAATCAATTTCTGACCCAGGAAAATGAGTTGGAACCAGGTAGTAACCAAGTATCTCTATGGAGTATTCTTTCTAAGACAGGTGGGTGAGGTTTGTAAATCTTTCAGGCTAATTAAACCAGTTAATTTAATGCAAAACACAGCTTTTTGTTTTAAGATTTTTTTTTTCCATTGAGAATCTTTTAGCAGTTGGTGATTGTCTCTGAGACTTTAACATCCTTCTACTTTTATCTGCTTTATTTATAATATTTGTATACTCCCCAGTATTGCTCTTTTGGGGGCAGATAAAGGGGCAGGTGAATGGCTGGGCTCGTAAGCACAAAAATGACATCCATTCTATATCTACATTTATGTCTCTTCTATGCATTCATATCTATCTATCTATCTATCTATCTATCTATCTATCTATCTATCTATCTTCTATCATCTATCAATTTACCTGCCTATCTCTCCTATATCTGTCTTCTATATCTACATTCATACCTTTTCTATATTTATACCTTCATTCATATTTGTGTTTGTGTATTCTACAGATATATCTACTTTATATATTTTACATCTGTATCTAAATCTGTATTTCTCCATCTATGTAAGTTTTTCGGTTCTCCACTTTAAAAATCCTGTTATGTCCTCCGTGGTGGACAGAGCCAAAAAAGGATTTTGGAGCCAAAAAAAAAAAAAACCATGCTTTCAAATGTGGTTTGCTCATAAATATAGAAATAGTGCAGTTTCACCACTTCAAAACTTACCTGCTGGGCATTTTTTCCACCTCTGAGGAGGGGGTTTGACTGGCAGTGAAATTGATGGCTAAAGAATTTAAAATGTTTCTCATAATTCTTCTTGAGGAGAGATCTCACCTTAAATCCTGCTGAGTTGATCAGTGTGTTTGCATTATTGGGATATTAGAGTTTAAAGTCGCATCTGTTGTAGCAGCTCCCTGGTATGAACTTCCTCAGAAGGGAAGTAGAAGCTGAGCTTAAAAAGAAATTCCATCACCTCGAAGTAAGGCCACATTCGAGGTGTCTTTCAATGCTACTGATGCATCACACCACTTGTCTATTTTATCTCTAGCTAGAGAGAGACAGATAGGTATCTATATCCATAAATTATCTATCTATCTATCTATCTATCTATCTATCTATCTATCTATCCCTCCATCCCTCTGTCCATCTGTTCATGCAACTGTGCATACATCTATCTATCTATCTATCTATCTATCTATCTATCTATCTATCTATCTATCTGTCTGTCTATCTGCCTATCTATCTATCTATCTATCTATCTATCTATCTATCTATCTATGTATCTATCTGTCAATGCCTACCTATACATCTATCTATCTACCTACCTACCTACATACCTACCTATACATCTATCTACCTATACATCTCTCTATCTACCTGCCTACCTATATACCTGTCTATGTATGTATGTATGTATCTATCTGCCTTCCTACCTATTCATCTCTCTATCTATTTACCTATCTACCTACATATCATCTGTCTGTCTGTCTTTCTGTCTGTCTATCTATCTATCTACTGCCTACCTACCAACCTATATATCTATATATCTATCTGACTATCTAGTTGAGAAACTGGGCAGGCAAAGTGGTTAATTTAAAGCATAAATTAAATCATGTTGTTCTTGTGCTTAAAAGCAACATGACTTCCCGTTTTGCTTAGAATGAAATCGAAACTCTCCACCACGATGGGCCGGGCCTGTGTGACAGCTCCTGCTTCTGCTGTCCACTTCGTGCCCTTCTCCTTCGTCCATCCCTACAGCCACAATGGGTTTCTCTCTGCACATCCAGTAACAGAGAACTTTTAGTCGGCATCAGACCTCTTTGACAAGGTGACAGTTTAACTAAAGGAATCCTGCATGAAAAGAATCTGGCCCTGCAGCAACAGGGCAAAGGTTTTTCAGCCTTCGAGAGCAGCTGGTGGAAAGGTCCTGAGGGGTAAGGAGCCCAGCAGGCATTGCAATGCCCGTTGCAACCTCAGATCATTCTGCTTAGTGCTCTCCAAACACTCATCGTTATCTGAAATGATCTGGATGATTTGTTTGTTGTCTGCCCCACTCATACAAGTTCAATGAAGGAGGAGACTCTGTCTTGTCTGTGTCATTGCCCAGGATCCTCAACCTAAACTCCTGCATATGACACACTAAGTGCTCACTGAATGTCTGGAGAATAAAGGAGCTGCGTGATTCTCTTTTTCTTTCTTTCTTTCTTTCTTTCTTTCTTTCTTTCTTTCTTTCTTTCTTTCTTTCTTTTCTTTCTTTCCTTCTTTCCTTCTTTCTTTCCTTCCTTCTTTCCTTCCTTCCTTCTTTTTTCCTTCTTTCTCCTTCCTTCCTTCCCTCCCTCCCTTCCACCTTTCTTTCCTTCTTTCTTTCTTTCTTTTCTTTGTTTCTTCTTTCTCTTTCTTCTTTCTTTCTCTTTCTCTTTCTTTTCTTTCCTTCCTCTTCCTTTCTTTTTTCCTTCTTTCTCATTCCTTCCTTCCCTCCCTCCCTCTCTCTCTCTCTCTCTCTCTCTCTCTCTCTTTCTTTCTTTCTTTCTTTCTTTCTTTCTTTCTTTCTTTCTTTCTTTCTTTCTTTCTTCTTTCCTCTTTCTCCCTTTCTCTTGAGACAGGGTCTCACTCTATTGCTCAGGCTAGAGTACGGTGGCATGATCATGGCCCTCTGCAACCTCCACCTCCTGGGTTCAAGCAATTCTTCCACCTCAGCCTCCCAAGTAGCTGGAACCATAGGTGCATGCCACCATGCCCAGCTAATTTTTGTAGCTTTTGTAGATATGGGTTCTCACCATGTTGCCCAGGCTGGTCTCAAACTCCTGGGCTCATGTGATCCGCCTGCCTCGGCCTCCCAAAATGCTGGGATTACAGGTGAGGGCCACGAGCCCAGTGGGGCTTGCATCTTTCTATGCACAGATTTTCCAAATTCAACCTAGGTAAACTCATGGCTGCTCTCCATCTGCGTGTTCCCCACCTATTGCTGGTTTCTTTGCAGAATCCCTTCTCTTGTTGCCTCTTGTCTCTACCCTGGAGAACCAGGTTTACCTCTTAGCTATTACACAGCCTCACCTCACTTCCAGAAGTAACTAGAACCCTTTGAACACCTGGTTGGTATCTCTATTAGCTGCATTTGCTTACAGAACTTACTTGTCTGGGTTAGAATTCTTTTTTTTTTCACTTTCTGCATAAATTTGGGCAAGGTGCTCACTTTCTGTAGTACTGTTTTCTCACCTATACAAATAGAGAGCATAATAGCACTTACCCCATAATGTTGTTAGGAGGATTAAGTGAGTTAATACATAGTCTACCCAGAGAACTGCAGGCCGATGTCATGGTGGCCCACAAGCAGACCCAAAAAGGACCCTTGAAGCTTAAAAGCATCGCAGAGCTCAGCATCACCAAGCAGAAGAAGAAAAAGAAAGACCAAGACAAGGTGAAACTCAAGGAAGTGATGGAATGAGCAAAAAGATTAAGGAGCAGAAGCAGTGTGGCCAGGACAAGTGGTCCCCAGCCCAGGTGGCCTTCAAGAATCCGCAGAACAAATGGAGAGGATCCTGAAGAAAGCATCCAAAACCTCCAGGCAGAGCGTGGAACTCCAGCTGACACCTGCTGCACACACTCCAGAAGCATGACGAGGTTCCGGCAGCCAGCTGGACGATGTGGCCTCTGCCCTGGGGATGGAGCAGCAGCTTTGGGAAGCAGGAGTCCACATTGGAGTTATGTCTGTTTCCTTTGGTATTTTCTAGAAACATTGCTTTGCATGCACCCTCGAATCTCCTCCTGCGACAGTGCTTCTCAGAGCTGGGCACCCTCATTCTGGAACTTGATTAAAGTGAAACAGTCCTCTTACTCAGTTTAGGTTTCTTGGTGGCACACAGAAAGTACACCTTTTCGTGTAAATGGGAAGTTTTCAAAGCTTCTCCAGAAGTAAAGGCCACTTTTGTGTCCATGTCTTGTAAAAACGTTTTTACCCTCAAGCTGTGTCTCACCCTCTGAGGCCAGCCAGCTATCTTCGCCGGGATGAGATGAACTGCAGAGGATGAGGGGCTAATGCCAGCGTGACCTGCAGGGTGCAGACTCCTGTGAGACCCAATGTGGGTGCCCTTCCAAGCGTCCTCCAGCTATTCCCTGCAGGCCCCAGGAAAGCCACTTGCAGCTTTGTGGTCCTCCAATGGCCTCCTCGGCCACCTGGCCAGTGAGACAGTGCAGCCTGATAGAGAAGCAGCCATCTAAGGCAGGGATGGACCATGTGCTTCGTCCCTTTCTGGGTTTGTCCCCCTAGATCCACCTTCCAAAAACTACTAATGGCCATTGCCCATTGATTGCCACTTTTCTTTGTAATGAAGCTCAGACATGGGCTGCCTTGGCCGTCAGCTCAGAACCCCAAGGAGCCTCTTGAGTTTACTCAGAGTTGACAGATCACACGGGGCTCTTTGGCATCCCTGTGCCCTAAGGACACCTCAGGGGTGACACGACCAGGACAGAGCCCCAGCACAGACAGACATGGGTGCAGTCAAATGGTAGAGCCCAGGTACCAGTGCTGGAGGGCCAGGAGGGCCTGTGTGTGCCAGGTGAGGGTCCACCTGCATGTGCTATTGGGAAAAATGGTATCTTTGGGGAGAAATAGCCTCTGTTAATGTAGATATTTAAAGAATAACAAAGGCAGAAGAGAAAACACAAGTGTGGAGTTTGGAGTTGTCCGCAAACTGTAGAATAAAGCAAAAACTAGTTATTAAAAAGTGAGCTCATATAGACAAATAAGTTAGAAAATTGATGTATTATCATAGCTTGTTAGATATTTGCTTTTAAAATTATAATTGTAAAAATCATAGTCCTTTGAATCATCAGTCTGTATAATCGTCACTCTCATCAGACTAAAATACATTTTAGTACAAATGAAGGGATGGCATTTCATTTATTTTAGAATATTTTCACAGAAGATTTCATACATCTGGCAAAATGTAATTATATGTTAAATACATATCTCATTTCCACATTTAGTTTATATGAGGAAAATTATTTGAGGTCAAAATTCCTCTTGAAATTCCTTTAAATCAACTGTAAATTATAGAGTATGCATGTATTTGTATATATAATCCTTTTAAGTAATAACTATGCCTCTCAAAGTGTTGAAAGTCACTGAGTTAGACCAAACATTTAATGAAAGAGAAAACAACACACAGATAGGTAAGAAGCTGTCCAGTCCTTATCATGAATCCGGCATACTGGAGAAGCCACACGTGTTCCTTCTTGCCTGCAGGGTTGACTCCATTGGGTTCCACTGCTGACCTCAGCAGACAATCCTAGATGATCTTGTTGTGAAGATTAAGGAGATCATGGACAACACCTTGCTAAGGATTGAGTTTTAATGCTGGTGCTTTAATTATCCTTTCATGCTACAAAACCATGTGAGGCAAGGTATTAACATCTAAGTTTTTTTTAAAGCATCAAGAATTCCAAAATCAGGTACAAAATCAAAAGGCAGATTTTCAAACAAAGCCTTTGAAAAGTGGTTCTTTAATGCTTAAAGGATCTCACCCTTTTCTAGAACAGAGAAGTGTCAAGAGAAGTGAGCAAGAAAAAATGTCTTTGGACAGAGCTTGGTGAAAAGATATCTTTGTGTTTAAAGGCAATCTTGAAACTCATGGGCACTGTGGTCTGGGATCTGAGTCCTGCTTAGAATGTGTGAGGCTCAGAAAGGGCTGTTTCCTGTTGGATATCAGAGCTGGGAGGTGCTTCTAATCCTAGAAGGGACCTGGGCTCTCAGAAGGCACTGGAGGAACGAAGCTTCATGTCCTGTGCACCAGAAATGGGTAAGTCCCGAGCTGACTGTGACATTTGGCATTTATTGTCCAAAGAGAGATGTGTTTGAATATGAGCATGTTTGCTATTGATAATTATGCATAAAAAATAGACAAGGCTGGGAGTTAAGCCAGGCAATCAGAACTCTGTGGTCCTCTAGCCATGCTGAGAACCGGACTGGAGCCATTGAAAGGGCACCCTTGGAGGGCAATGCGGCCTGGGCAGAGTCAGAGTGGGGTGGATGAACAAAGAAAAGCAGTTGTGGAGGTTCAGGAGGGATCTGCAGAAGCACACTATGCATAGCTCAGGGGCATCGCCATCTGAGTGCCCGACAGGGTACCTTCCAGGAGCTCGGAGAATGAATCAGACTGAAACTTCCAGCAGACCAGAGACCTCAAGCCAGCTGAGACAGTATGTCACAATCTCTCGTATCTCGTTTGTGTCCTTTCTTCCCTTTCCTTCCCCTTCCCCTCCCCAACCCTGGAAAGATTAGAAACCCTGGAAAGAAGAGAGGGGAGAGAGAAGAGCAACTTTTCCCACCATTTCCCCCCTAAGTCTTCCAGCTTGAGCTGGGAAAGGAAATAATTTAATGTAGAATTGTATTTGAAATTTTCCGTGATATTTTGAATCGATTATTCTAATTTAGACTGTTTGCAACTTTTAGGGGAACACGGGACTACTACTGACCCTAAGAGAGGGGGTGGAAAGTCCTGGGCTAGCTGAAATTTTCATCCATTTACAGGAAGGATTAACTCATTGGAGAAAATTTAAGGGCTCAGGGAGACAGAATAATTGCATTTTAATGATATCCCATAAAGTGCATCTTCAGTGTACCTATTACTAGTGATTTTCTTGTGTTTCCATCCCTCCTATTAACCAATACTTACAAAATACTGTGTGAATCACTTTCTTTAAGAAATACAACTATGATACGACTTCAGCTTACTGAACACATGTTGTTTAAAGTTCAAAGCATTCGTGTAAATGCTTTCATTCATCTAATTCTTCTTTACAATAAAAACATAATCCCTTGGGCTTATTACACAGAAAATCCCCCTTAAAACATTTTGAAGATATTAAGAAGTCTGATGTATATTAATGTCTCCCTCAGCTTCCTACAAGTCAGTTTCAAATACTTTTTACATTTTACTTTCAGGCTTCAGATTGTGACAAGGGGGTCAACTTGGTGAACAGAAAATTACCCTGCATTGAAAAGACTGCTGCTGGATCCACATCGTAGGTTCAGCTTTTATGAGCAGTGGGGCTCAGGGGAGGAGAGATTTAGTAAATACATGATCTGGAGGAAGTATAAAGAAAATAGTAATAAAGAACAATGCCTTGAAGATTGTTAACACTGAAAGTTGTTGGCTGAGTTTTATCCTATCATTTAGGATTTTTCTTTTTCATCTTAAGGACAGAATTGCAGCAGGAACCAACCGAGAGCAGAAGTTGTCTGGGGCTGTTTCTGGGAGGCTGGGTGTTGGGGGTGGAGGTGGGGAAGGCAGGGACCTGAGTCCCAAGGACTAGAACGAAGCCAGTGCCTTCCTCTTCCTTCCTGCTGATCTCAGCTTGTCTGGTCTTGGTTTAGACTCCTCTGTTCCCACAGCAAAGTCTTCTCCACAAGGTTAAACAGCACCCATCTCTCTCTCCAGCCTTTGTCTCTGGTGGCAAGGCTTTCACTCCAATTTTAAACTTTAAAAATCTAGAGAGAGTCTCAGGCCTGGACCGGTTTCCATGCCTATCCCGAATCTATCCTGGGGGAATAGGCAGCTAAGACTGTCCAGGTTGGGCCAGGTTCCTCCATGGGGTCAGAGGAAGGATGGGGTGCACGCTGCTGTAAAAACTAAAGTAGAGGTTCCTCTTCAAAGAGACTTTCCTCCCCATCTAACTAGGAATAAATAGTAACTTCTCTTAGAAGCAAACTTTATTCAAAGATCTGTGCTAACATTCTTAAATATCTGCCAGCCGTAATAAAGAAATCAGTGTACTTTACGTTCTTAGCTCCCACAATTTAGCCTAAATATTTCCCCTGGCATACTTACACTGGACCAAGCAAGCATTAGGTCGTAGCCTGCTCCTCTTCCTTATTTGAAGGTGTTTTTACCTTTCTCAGCATTCCACAAGTTACTTCCGCCCTCCTTTGTTCTCCTCTGCCTTTGCCTCTTTTAAAAAGTTCTAAGTTGCTAGCCAATCGGGACAAACACAGAATGTGAGGTCCCGTTCCAGCCAATGGAAAATGGACACAGCAGCAGGGTGGACGCGTCAGGTTATAAATGACCCTGTCTCCTGGTTCAGTGTCCTCTCGTGGCAAAACTGCTGGCGACTATACTCCTTCTGCAGAAAGTAAAAAAACAGTCTTGCTAAGAAAATTCTATTTATGTTCAAATGCTACTTCTTTGCAACATCAGGAAACAAGCATTTCTAACACTGCCAAGAAAAAAGAGGAAAAAGCCTTGGAGTAGGATCAAACAGAAAGTTGGAGAATATTAGATGTCAATGTAAGTCCACTCAATAAGCCTCTGAGTTTCTACCAGAGGCAGGCAGATACTGCTGATTGCTAAGGATCCAAGGACAAGAAGGGAATGTGCATACCCCTTGCAGATGGCACCCATTCACTATGAGGAACAGAGCTGTCACCCAACCATCAGAGCACACTGTGAGGAGCTAGCGTAGACATGTTAGAAAGCAGCATTGTGGCAGCTCTCAGAAGGGGTTAGTGGTCTCTGCCCTGGGCAGGTAGGCACCAACGACATCCTAAGATTCTTGATTGAGGCCTTGTAAGATGAGTAACAGTATCCCAAAGACAACAGTAGGAGTGGCTTCCAGACAAGGCATGGAATGGCATGGCCACAGGCAGTACCTGAATGGTACCAAATTTTGGGATTCAAAGGAGTAACTAGGAAAATAGAAGAGTCACACCTACTCATGGATAAATGGGCAGGTGTTAGCACGGAGGGTACTGCCACCACGCTAAAGAGCTGGCAACTTGTTTCTGAGCATGGTTAAAAGATAAGCTGGTGAGACGACTATCATGAAGAATAGTAACAGGGCCTCATAACTGTGGGCTCTGGATAGGCACCGTGCTTTGTGTGTTTCACCCTGCGAATAGGTGCTGTTCTAGTTCTTTATTTTATTTATTTATTTTTGAGACGGAGTCTCACTCTGTCACCCAGGCTGGAGTGCAATGGTGCAATCTCAGCTCATGGCAACCTCCACCTCCCTGGTTCAAGCAATTCTCCTGCCTCAGCCTCCGGAGTAGCTGGGACTACAGGCACAAGCCACCACGCCCGGCTAATTTTTGTATTTTTAGTAGAGACAGGGTTTCATCATGTTAGGCAGGATGGTCTCAATCTATCAACCTTGTGATCCGCCCATCTCAGCCTCTCAAAGTGCTGGGATTACAGGCGTGAGCCACCGAGCCTGGCCGGTGCTGCTCTAGTTCTTAAAACCAGGCTTAGAAGATCTGTATGCTTTATCCAGGATCCCTCAGACAGTAAATGGCAGATCTGGAAAGTCACTGCACTACACTACACAGCCTCTTGAGAAAGGCAGTGCATGTGGCAAACGGAATATAGAGAAATACTGAAAATGAAGCATTATTACTTTCAAGCCAACGTCAGAAACAAATAACTAACATACTGGACATTTTAGAATATGTGAGCTCACAATTTGCCCTGTGAAACTCATCAGCATTATTCTCAACTCCTCAAACGTCCATTTGAGTGGGGTGAATTGCAGTTGTATTTGTTTTACTATGATTTCTGTGAACCATGTTTTGAATTTCAACATTTCTTCATCAGAGAATAACCAACAATGATTTCAGGGAAAGAACAAGTTCCACTTTCTTACTAAAACTGGCTATTTCTTTTTTATTTATTTATTCATTTATTTTTATTTATTCATTTATTTTTCTGTTACCCAGTCTGTGATCTCAGCTCACTGCAACCTCCACCTCCCGGGTTCAAGTGATTCTCCTGCTCTAGCCTCCTAAGTAGCTGGGACTACAGGCATGCACCACCACACCTGGCTATTTTTTTCTTTTTCTTTTTCTTTTTTTTTTGTATTTTTAGTAGAGACTGGATTTCAACATGTTGGCTAGGCTGGTCTCAAACTCCCAACCTCAGGCGATCCCCACAGCCTGAGGCCTCCCAAAGTGCTGGGATTACAGGCGTGAGGCACCATGCAGGTCAAGAGCTGGCTATTTCTTAAAGCATACATATGTATGTAATAACAGTTCATATTCATGGAGCACCTGTTCCATGCTGAGCTCGTTAGAGGTGGTCTGCATCTGAATTGCTAATTAGCTGCCAAGGACTTAAGTGCGGTTGCACAGAAAAGGATTAATGTACACACACAAAAAACAGTTTCCGATTATGACTGAGCATTGTGGCCGGCCTTGAAGAGAGCAGGAAAAGAAAAAAGAAGAAAAAAAAATGGGAGAAAGGGTACACCAGGATGAAATAAGCCAGCTAAATAAGCCACCTTAATAATCAGAAGTTGACTTCTGGAATCCATTTTTAATGTTAATTATTGATATTTTGAGTGCTGGGATTACAGGCGTGAGCCATCGCACTCCGCCGGTGTAGCTATTTTGAGATTTTTTTTTTTTCACGATGGTAACCAAAGAGGAAAAATGTCTAAGTGCTAGCTTGACAGCATGGAGATTTTTTAAGGGTCGTCTTAGTTGTCTGACTTCTGAATTTTAAATATTTATGGAAGCATTAATAAGAAATCCGTCTTTGCTGCTGACGTTAATGGCAATGCCTGATCCTAAGGCATGGAGTTCACCTCGGCCTTAGAACCCTAAAGAAAAATTCCATTTGTCTCTGGAATAAGAGGCACAATTATAGGGAGGAAAAAAAAATGCCTGCCTGACTCCAGAAATTCTTTCCATGGAGAACTTTCCTGATTAACTTTCTAAACAAGCTTCACTGCAGATGTTCTGGGTATCTCTGTATCCATTTCTTACACGTGTTTTCTGAGATGTGCTAATTTTTGAGAAAACACTCTCCTCCCTACCTTCTCTTTTCTCTTAACTATATGGTATATATAACCCATGCCTTTGGAAGAATCGATTTTATGCTTTGTGAAGCCTTCAAGACAGGATATTGGTGAAAAATCAGCCAGCAGAGGAGGTGGAGAGGATGTATTAGTCTCTTCTCATGCTGCTAATAAAGACATACCCAAGACTGGGTAATTTTTAAAGAAAAAGAGGATAATGGACTCACAGTTCCACGTGGCTGGGGAGGCCTCACAATCATGGCAGAAGGCGAAAGGCATGTCTTACATGGCAGCAGGCAAGAGAAAGCATGTGCAGGGGAACCCCCCTTTATAAAACTCTCTCTATAGATCTCATGAGACTTATTCACTGTCACAAGAACGAGAGTTTCTGGGCCAGAGTGAATGCTTTCATCTACCTCAACCTTTTGCTTTAGTAATACACACAGGAGGGCTGGAGAAATGGAGTACTGTCACTCAACTTACTGTTTTCAGCTTCTTAAATTTTTTCCCAGGTTCTTCTCCTTAATTCCTACAGTTCCAAAATAGATGTGGGCCAAAGACGATATTTACAGCTAAGCTGCTCAGGTGCCTCAGTGAAAAGAATGAAAACTCTCTTACCTCTCCCCACAGGGCCAGCCTATTTGTAGGTATAGAGTCTGGGCTGTCTAAGCAATGCTAAAGGAAAATATCTTGGGCCTTTTCAAGCTGGGAACTGCTTAAGGCAAACCTGCCTCCCATTCTATTCAAAGTCACCCCTCTGCTCACAGAAATAGATGCATATCTGATTGCCTCCTTTGGAAAAACTTCTCAGAAACCCAAAAGAATGCAACCATTTGTCTCTCACCTACCTGTGACCTGAAAGCTCTCAGTGGGGGAGGGGGAAGCTTGCTTTGAGTTGTCTCTGTCTTTCTGGATGGATCTAATGTACTTCTTACATATGTTGATTGACAGCTCATGTCTCCCTAAAATGTGTAAAACCAAGCTGTGCCCGGACCACCTTGGGTACAGGTCATCAGGGCCTCCTGAGGCTGTCACCAGCGTGTCTTCAACCTTGGCAAAATAAACTGTGTAAATTAACTGAGACCTGTCTCAGATTTTCTGGGTTCACAGAAATTTTACACAAAAGGAAAAAAGAAGTTTCCTTTAGTAAAAATCCTTGTTAAAACATCTCCCATTGCATCTTAAGGCTGCATATTTTCCTTCCTATCATGTCGGTGAAAGTTTCTGACGGCCCACATCCATCTGAGAGACAACTAGCTGGATTTCCTAGGCCGACTAAGAATCCCTAAGCCTAGCTGGGAAGGTGACCCTTCCCCCTTTAAACACGGGGCTTACAACTTAGCTCACACCCGACCAAGCAGATAGTAAAGAGACTTCACTAAAATGCGAATTAGGCAAAAACAGGAGGTAAAGAAATAGCCAATTGTCTACTGCCTGAGAGCACAGCAGGAGGGACAATGATCCGGACATAAACCCAGGCATTCCAGCTGGCAACCGCGACCCCCTTGGGGTCCCCTCCCTTTGTATGGGAGCTCTGTTTTCACTCTATTAAATCTTGCAACTGCACTTTTCTGGTCTGTGTTTGTTATGGCTCGAACGGAGCTTTTGCTCGCTGTCCACCACTGCTGCTGGCCGCCATTGCATAGCCGCGGCTGACTTCCCTCTGGATCCAGCAGGGTGTCCGCTGTGTTCCTGATCCAGCGAGGTGCCCATTGCCGCTCCCAGTCGGGGTAAAGGCTCGCCATTGTTCCCGCACGGCCAAGTGCCCGGGTTCGTCCTAATCGAACTAAACACTAGTTAGTGGGTTTCATGGTTCTCTTCCATGACCCACGGTTTCTCATAGAGCTGTAACGCTCACTGCACGGCCCAAGATTCCATTCCTTGGAATCTGTGAGGCCAAGAACCCCAGGTCAGAGAACACAAGGCTTGCCGCCATCTTGGAAGTGGCCACCACCATGTTGGGAGCTCTGGGAACAAGGACCCCCCAGTAACACGTTCATCCTTGAATGAGAAAATGTCTGGTCCAGCTTGATATTGTAATGTAAACATGGTGGGTGCATTTTCTTTTCCTTGAATTCCTTTACCATTTACCCAAATTTTCATTCTAACTTTCTCGAATGGAGCATAGTCAAAGCCAATGTCCAGTAACCAAGCAACCTGAGGGATGGAGAAGGATGGGGCTGCCGGTGGTCTGGGTAAGGAAGTTGCTCTGTTGCTTTGTCTTCTCTGTGTTTGGGGTTTCCACTGCTATAGGGAGCAGCCGTTGGAATCTGGATTTTGGTCTGGTCTGGCGTCCATGCTGACAGCTCACACGGCCAAGTTCAGCCCCTTTCGTTATTTCTTTCTGACCCAGTAGAGAGACGGCTGGCCATTCTTGGCTGGCCCCTGCTGTAGGTCCTGGGGGACCTGCCTGGGACCTCCCATCACTGGTGTTTTATAAGCTGATCATCTTTGAATGAAAAGGGCTCCTCAGTGATGTGAGACACACCTGCCTGGTGGGCTGCCCTCTCCGTGTGCCTCCTCTCATTCACAGTCAAACACAGCGGTGGGTTGGGCCAGGTTCTCTGTACCAGCTGATGCTCCTTAGGGTGCAGGTTTCTGGAAGCCCTGCTCAATCTGCTTTCAACAAAGCAGAAGAATTCACTGATGAATAGAACTACGAAGCCCAAGAGTAGAACTGACAGACTAGACTCAGGGGCCGGAATAATGAATCCAGTCTCTTTCTCCTTCTCTGTGTCTTTGGTAAATGTTAGATTTCATTTTCAGATTCCACTCACCATCTCAGGCTTCTATGATCCATATGTTACTGATACCTGAGGAAAAAATGTAGTATCTTTATCTGATAATTTCTTAGGAGACCCAGAACTCACACTAATAATCAGCTCCACCTCTTGAAAATTCATAATAATCAGCTCAACCTATTCAAAATCCCAACACTTAACTGTGGCCACCATGTTCAGAGGGATGGAGTGAAGAGGACTGGAGAAGCCCCAGTCATGTGCCTACTGGTTCCTAATGACAGCAGCAGGGAAGACGGTGGGTTTTTGATGCTCTAATTGGTCAGAAGGAAAAACCTCATTAAAATTCCCAGGTAATAAAAATAACTAAATATAAAGAAAATTTGGTTCTGTGAGCCCAACAAATGAGTTGGGACATGAACAACATCAATAACAATTGTCTGCCCTGATAGCCACTAATTACCTCTGGGTGAGGCAGGACCGTTTTGCCAGAAGAGGTTCTGCGTCTTGTGGCTGTGGATGGCTCTCTATTCTTGTTACCAGCCGGTGAAAATGATACAGCTCCGATTCGTGGAGGAACACCAGGTTCTTCATCTCAAGTCAAATTAGAAAAAAACAACACAGACTCACGTGGAGTAGTTTTAAGGAGCAGAGAGGTTAATAGGCAAGAAGGAAGGGAGAAGACAAAAGGAAGAAGCTCCTCTGTTCAGAGACAGACAGGGGGTCTCCAAAGCCAAAAGAGGAAACCCCAAGTGGGATGGATACCCGCCAGGTATATGTAGAGGCTGGAGGAGGTGGCATCTGATTTGCTTAGGAGATTGATTTGACCACGTATGTCATTTACGTGGCGCTGGAAAACACTGATGCTCCCACCCTAGTCTTTTAATATGCAAATGCAGGCCGCCATGATGTTCCACACACTTGGGGATGGGTGGGGTGGCCACGTTGCCAGGAACACGTGGGGCAAGGGCTAGAAGGCAGAGGGATTCCCCATGTTTGGGTGGACCTAGTTTCTAATGGATGGTATTTGCATATCAAAGGTTGCCTGTTTGGCTGTAAGAGCTGCGGCTTTCCAGCTAGACAAGAAACGTCTTTAAAAATGAAAATTTCCCAAGGACCCCTTTTTCTCTCTTTAAAAATGAAAATTTCCCAAGGACCCCTTTTTCTCTCTATTTGCCTAAAGTAATTTCTTTTCTTTTTTTTTTTTTTTGAGACGGAGTCTGGCTGTGTGGCCCAGGCTGGAGTGCAGTGGCCGGATCTCAGCTCACGGCAAGCCCCGCCTCCCGGGTTCACGCCATTCTCCTGCCTCAGCCTCCCGAGTAGCTGGGACTACAGGCGCCGCCACCTCGCCCGGCTAGTTTTTTGTATTTTTTTAGTAGAGACGGGGTTTCACCGTGTTAGCCAGGATGGTCTCAGTCTCCTGACCTCGTGATCCGCCCGTCTTGGCCTCCCAAAGTGCTGGGATTACAGGCATGAGCCACCGCGCCCGGCCTGCCTAAAGTAATTTCTTGAAAACTCCTACCACAAAAGCATCCTCCTTCTTTAAATATTCCTTTGTTTATTTTACTAGGGGGAAAGAGCTAGTGTTGACACTATCGTTCAATTTAAAGACCTAACTGAAATTACTCGATTTTACATAAATTCTCAGAATAGGTATCAAATTCCCTGGGTCCATAATCCACATAAAAAGAGAGATTAGGGTGTTCAGGGCCTTTCTTAATATGCAAAACTAAAATTCTGGATGCTACTAATAAGATAGTCCCTTCTTTTTCAGACTGTCAGAAACATTACAGCCAAACAAAGATTCTGGTTTACTTTTCTCAAGGAAAGTGGAACTGATGTTAGAATTGCGAGGAGATTTAGACATCATCAGAAAACAATTCACGTCATGATGTTGGAAATCTCTTTTCTTCTTTAGTTCTGTCGATGTGATATAAAAGAGTATATATTTTATTTAAATTTCCATCTTTATCCAGTTACAACTGATAAATAAAATTGTAGACAATTAAGGTGTACAATATGATGTTTGGATATACATATACATTGTGGAGTAATTACAACAATCGAGCTGTTTAACATATCCCATCTCACATAATTACCATTGTGTGTGTGTGTGTCTGTGTGTATGTGTTTAGTGAGAGCATTTAATATTTCAATCCTTAGCAAATTTCTAGTCTATAATACAGCATTATTACCTATGGTCACAATGCAGTACATAGATCTCCAGAACTTACTTATCCTGCATAAGTGAGATTTTGCACCCTTTGACTAATATCTCCCTATTTTCCTCTCCCTGCAGCCCCTGGCAACCATCCTTATACTCTCTGCTTTTATGAAGGTAATTAGTTTTAATTCACCTCCTAGGGGTAGCAGTTTCAGTAATCAAACACTCACATTCCTGCATTGATTAGCAAATGCCTAATCAGAAAGTGCACACTCCAGAAGTTCTCACTAAAGCCTGTCAGCTGTCATTTTCTATGTCTGCTCAACACTGGAGGTCTCACTAGCTAGTGTAATTTGTCTAGAAGTGCTTTTTCCTTGGAAAGTTTAGTGGTGTGTTCTCTAGCAACATGGATGTAGAAAATGGGCTTTCATTGACGAGAAAGGCAGATGGAATAAACTGAATCAGTCACTCTCCACACCTGCAAAACAAGGTCTCACGGTCTCATAAGCCACATACTCTGTACTTGTAGGGAGTACACATGAAGTCAAATGCCTAAACCACACTCCATCCAGTCACTGAGATGGCAAATTCTGGTTGCCAGATGCCAACTGTGACAGATTTCTTCTTTTAGAACGTTGTCATAGCTGTCTCATGGGGCTCTTTTAGGGCATGTGTTAGGGACTGAATTGTGTTCCCCAGGACTCATGTGTTGAAGTCTTTGTTTTGTTGTTGTTGTTTGAGATGGAGTTTTGCTCTGTTGCCCAGGCTGGAGTGCAGCAAGGCGGTCTCCCTTCATTGGAACCTCCACCTCCCAGGTTCAAGCGAGTCTCTGGCCTTAGCCTCCCAAGTAGCTAGGATTGCAGGCATGTGTCGCCACACCCAGCTAATTTTTGTATTTTTAGTAGAAACGGGGTTTCACTATGTTGGCCAGGCTGGTCTCGAACTCCTGACCTCAGGTGATCCACCTGCCTTGGCCTCCCAAAATGCTGGGATAAGAGACGTGAGCCACCAGGCCAAGCCTCATGTTTTGAAGTCTGAACCTCCAATGTGGCTGTACTTGGATATAGGGCCTTTAAAGGACTAATGAAGATTAACTGAGGTTGTAAAAATTGAGCCTAATCCAGTTTGATTTGTGTTCCTAGGAGAAGAGGAAGAGACATGAGAGATGTGCACACTGAAAAAAGACCAAGCAGGGACACTGCCAAGGCAGCATCTGCACGCCAAGGAGAGGGACCTCAGAAGAAACTGAGCCAGCCAGCACCACACCTTCGTCTTTGACCTCCAGCCTCCACAACTGTGAGAAATACCTTTCTGTTGTTTAATCCATCCAGGCTGTGTCATTTTGTTATTGCAACCTGAGAGACCATCACAGAATGTGTGGTTGGATCACTTACAAGGATACAGGATCTGGGTATCGTACAGTTTACAGAATGTATGGACCGCTATGTTCCTGATCGATAATACGTGTTAATTATCAAATACGTGTATGGCAGAATTTGTCCTAACGCTTTGTTTCCTCTTAATCTGATTGTGAAGTTGGAGAAAAGGCTGATCCCTTGCCCAGCTCAAACTCTGACAACTATGTAATACTATTTCAAAAATGGTTGCTCATGACCCGAAGGGCTGAGGCTACTTCATGGCATTTGCTCTTTGACTCACCTGGACAATCTCTAGAAATACACCTGAAGTCGCCTGATGAAGTGCCCAATATTTCCCGTTGCTCTAGGTATTTTTAGAATGGAAATGAGATGATAATGAAGCCTGAGGTCTTCTGGAAGTCATTTGGTTGGCTTTCTTGGCTCTAACCAGTTTCAGCTGGTCTGGTTACCAAGGGAACATTTTATTGCAGGCATCCTTAAAGAGTAACAGAGTTAGGATTGGGTAGAAATTCAGTTTTGTCATGTAGGCATTACACTAGGTAACACTAACACCAGGGAAGAGATAGTACCCTTCTCACGAATGGGTCTCTGTCACCAAGGAGGTGGTGGGGTGGAGCTCTGCCTGCCAACCAAACCTTACATCAAGACTTTATTCTCTTCTTATGCTCTAGAATTTCACAGTAGTATTGGAGATAGGACATTTCCTGAAAGAAAGATGGAAAACTGTAACAGGTTGCTATTGATCCACTGCATACAAACAGCTTGCGTGTCTGCAAATTATTCTGGTTGACTTGTGTCCAGTCCTGGTCATATAAGGCCTTCAAAGTCTCACCGGTTCATTGTGGAAACACAGACATTTAAAAACAGCCCATGCCGGCTGGGCACAGTGGCTCTGTAATCCCAGCACTTTGGGAGGCCAAGGCAGGTGGATCACTTGAGGTCAGGGGTTTGAGACCAGCCTAGCTAACATGGTGAAACCCCATTTTTATAAAAAATAAAAATTAGCCGGGCGTGGTGGTGGGCGCCTGTAATCCCAGCTACTCAGGAGGCTGAGGCGTGAGAATCACTGAAACCTAGGAGGTAGAGATTGCAATGAGCCGAGATCATGCCATTGCACTCCAGCCTGGGTGTCAGAGCGAGACCCTGTCTCAGAACAGAAACAAAAATGACAACGAAAAAACCTCCCATGTTCTTAGGCTCTGGCTCTGTCCAGGACATCGGCTGTCCATAGAACAACCTGAGGGCTAGTTCCCAGCCACTAATTCCAGAGGTTTCCAGAGGGTTTTATTCCCTCCCTCTCTGAACACTGCAGTCCTTCAGGGTTTCAAGTAGTCATGGTTTCCCAAAGTCTCGGTTGAAACATGAAACACAACATTTGACCAAAAAAAAAAAAAAAAAGGAAAAAAGCCCCTATCCTAATGCAACAGTGACCCCAAAACAATTCAGCAAGTGCATCAGGCCTCATAGAACCATTTGTTAAATCAACTCTTTCAGCTTCTGCCAACAGCCAGTCTCTCCATAAGTCTCAGGCACAATTCCCAGTGGGAGGCAAATGAAGCCGTGTCTGTATGTCTGCTGTCCTCCCTCCCACACACCCTCTCCACTCCCTTCCTCGGTAGGTCACAATCAAAGCACCCATGCAAACTTAGGGAGTCTTTATAATTTCTTATCCATTGAGTCTCTCATGCTCTGCTTTATCAGTTTTCCATGACCATGAGACACTCGCAGAATAAGCTGGCGCTTGGGACAACTGCAGATGAAAAACAGATCATTGGAGGTTGTGATCTAGCAAGGAAGATTAGGTTTATACATAGAAATGTTAGAAAAGCAGGAGCCTAAGAGAGCCAGGTGTCACCATTTTAAAATTAACTCCATCTTTAAACTTGCAACACACATTCCTTGCCGATCATGACTTGCCATGAATCGCTTTCTGTGTGAGGCCAAGGAACCCGCTCTTGAGGTCTGGATCATAGGGACCCCTTTTTCCAGCAACAAAAACATTGACAATATAAAAATAAAGAACATGTTTATCTGTGATATTGATATCTATATCCATAAGTATATCTACCTCAAATCTGTCTCTTTATCTAGTTTTCTAACTATATGTCTATCTGTATCTAATTTCTAACATATTGTTGTAGGAGGTCATAACAGAACCTATTATAAAGTGACAGTCTCTTGCTTCTATTTTCTATTATTTCCCATTCAGTTGGGGTAAAAGTCTTTTTGGAGGACCCTCCCCAACACGCGCCGGAACAGTTACTCCAGCACAGCCGCTCCAGCCCGGATCTCATTTTTGCTTCTCCTGGACTTCTCGCTGTGCAGATGTTACACTCACGCTCTCCGCTGGCCTCCTGCTCCTGCTCTGAAAGTGAGCAGTTGTCTCTCTGGGTGGCATGTGAAGTCAAAGTTGGGTATCTTGACAGTGCCCTGGTATTCCCACTGCAGGACGGTGGCCTCTTCTGTTAGCGGTGACAGTTCTTACAGAACAATGCCTGGAGAGATGACAACTTAGAGCAATTTCATTGGCTTTCCCCTTGACAACTCAGCTCCCACACTACAGCGGGTGAGGCAGTGTTTAGGAATAACAAAGCAAAATCGTGAAGCCAGGACTTCCTTGAGTTTCCTTTCTCACTAGATTTTAATTATTATTATTATTATTATTATTTTGAGATGGTGTTTCACTGTAGTCACCCAGGCTGGAGTGCAATGGCGGGATCTCAGCTCACCCGACCTCTGCCTCCCGGGTCCATACTATTCTCCTGCCTCAGCCTCCCGAGTAGCTGGGATTACAGGCACGCACCACTATGCCCAGCTCATTTTTGTATTTTTAGTAGAGACAGGGTTTCACCATGTTGGCCAGGCTGGTCTCGAACTCCTGACCTCAGGTGCCTTGACCTCCTGAAGTGCTGAGATTACAGTTGTGACCCACGGTGCCCAGCCTTTCACTAGATTTTGGAAAATGTCATAGAATGATTCAGGGTTCCAGATTCAATTTACTATAAGGTGAAATAAGTGGGCTGGTTAGCAAGTGGCTGGCTTTTCTTTGGTATGAGGATAAAAAGAAGGTGGCTACTTTCTATGGCTTTCCAAACAGTCTCCGTTTCACTTAGTTCAAAAACACATAATGTTCATATAACAAAGAAATGATACATATTTGAGGTGATGATATGCTAAGTTGCCAATTGGATCATTCTGCCATGTATACAGGTATCAAAACATCACATTGTATGCCATAAATATATACAATGACTATTTGTGAATTTAAAATCAAACTATAAAAATTACATTACACTAATGTTCTAAGATGACTTCTGAGACATTTAGCATGTGTTGAGTACTTATACTAAGTCTCTCACTGCTTCTAGTCATTGAAGAGGTTTACACTATAAGCAAACATAATTATTATCATATTCATTTTACAGATCAAGAAACTAAAGTGCAGAAATAAATATTTGTCCAAATCTGCACAAGAGTGAGTTTCGACATAGGGCTAGCACCCAGGGATATCTAGTTTTCAAGGCCCACCCTCTTACGTAGTACACTGCCCTGCCCTCCACTCACTGCAGTTAGGATTCAGGAGCAATAACTGGACCCATTCAAGCCAGTTTACACCTTTACAGAAAATTCCGCCCATTTTGATTAGTGAAGATTCACACCTTTAGCTATGATGTGGCTCCCAGAATTCCTCCAAGTTAAGAGTATAAACAGAGCTAGACATAGTTCAGATAGTTGTGTCGCACCAAAAACAATTTTTAAAGAATACAGAATCGATCAATCCAGTAGAAAATGACACGGTTTTCATTAGGCTAAAAGTAATTAAGTCAATGCAACTCTTAAGCCCCATGGGTGGGAACTTTTGGTTCATAAAAAGTGTTTAGTTCGGATCTGAGCTGAAACAACTTTCAATCTCATCTGCAAGTAGAAAGATGGCAACGGCTCCTTTACACACCAATAAAATTAGAACAAATACGTATAGGCAACTAGGACAATCCTGGAATATTCTGGGCACCAAATAAATATCATGGATGCATCTTATGCAGCCAGACAGGATGGCCCAATAATCAGACATCTGAAGGCTCCTAGATGTGGATCCTCTGAATTCACTCTGCAATGTGAAATCCTGTTATTCTTGGCAACAGATCGTGCTTTCTGAAAAAGTGTGTCCTAACTGAGATAACAATGAAATTTTCGGTTTAAAGACACCTCAGATGACCGTGTTCTGGAGTCAGTGTTCCCATCAATGGATCTGAAGGCATTCTAAAGCCCCTAGAAATAATAAATGGCGTCTGAAATTGTTTCAAGATGAATCATCCTGGGAAGACTTTGAAGGTTCATCTGAAATTGTGCATAGCAACCCGGAAAAGCTGTGCTTTGCCCAGCTAAAGTGTGGTCCCTGCAAGTCATCACCTGGGCCAGGTAAGCTGCTAGGCCACCCAGAGAAGAAAAATACAGAGCAGCCTATGGGCAGATTTTCTTACCCAAGGCCAGTTTAGACGGAGGAGTCAATTGAATAATTGTCTGCTTCGTTCTTTCTTCAAGCCCAGAGGATACTTACTTTTGTAATATTCACTTACTCCTCACATAGCCATATTTTTCTCACTTAACTCCATCTCTTCTTCTCTTTAAGGCCTGGTAGAAAATGGGCAAATTTTATAAAATGAGGCAGAAGTGCCTCTAACATTGCCCATATGTGGGAAGATGAAATCTAGGAAAGAGAGCTTAGAAGGAGAGAGTCATGGTACCCATTGGGGTTCCTCAATGAGAACATTGCAGAAGGTGTAAACTGGTGGGCTCAAGGCTGAATACAGCCTATAGGTATGTTTTCTTGGCCTACGCATCATTGCTTTTAAAATTGGTTTTCAACAGTCAAAGTTCAGGGGGTTTTATAGCAGGGTCCTGGATTTCAGGCTACTCTTAAAAGTTTAGAAGATGGGCAATGCTGGGCCTGTGTTTCTGCATAGCAGCAAAGGCCAGGAGCAGAGTAGCAGCTGCTTGCATTAGAGGCAGCATTAGATCTTCAGGACACCACAGTCCCCACCACTCCCAGTTGCCTTAGCCTGGTTTCTGACACTCATTTATGTCACTTGTGAGGCTGCTATGGGCACTGGAGTTTGTGCCCCCCGTTTTAATACCTTTGGAAAACATTAATAAAAAACACATTTCCACAAATAGACTGGGCACTATGGCAGATATGCAAAAATTAATCAGACCTATATCCTGCCCCCATATAAAAGTAAAGTGTGGAAGAGCATGTACAGTATGTTTCTATTTGGGCAAAAAAAAAAAAACCCAAAAAACCCACATCTTCTCTCTCTATAAGCAATCAAATGCACAGTGCATAAATCCCAAAGATCTCTTAGCATTGGATGCAGTAGATATATCTACACGATTTGAATTTTTTAATCAAATGCTTATATTAATTTTTAAATAAGAGATCTAGTTGTTATGATAGTTTCCAGAGACGGTTATCATAAATATTGTTCCTCTTTCTACGCACATTACACTCAAACCATCAAGAAAGGGAGTCAATTTCTCTTCCCCTTGTATCTGGGCTAGCGCTGTAACTTACCTTGAACAAGAGACGGTGGTAACGGGTCACTATGATGATTCCAGTCACAGTCTATAAGAGGTCCAACAGCTTTTGCTTTCTCTCTGGGGAAAGCCAGGCACCGTGTAGAAACTCGAGCCATTCTGTGGCTGCCATGCCATGAGGAAGCTCACACAAGTCATGTGGATAGGGATGACCCAAGTAACCCGGCTGCCAGTGACCACGGAGGCCTGAGGTGTGTGATCCCAGTCGAGCCACCACGATTTGTGACATCCCAGCCAAGGATCCAAACACCGTGGAGCAGAGAAAGCCCCTCTTGTCCTAGCTTGTCTGCACTCCTGCTGCAAAAGTGGTGAGCAAATAAATGATTGCTTTAAGCTCCTAATTTGGAGTTGTTTATTATGTTGTGATAGATCCTTGAAACAATAATGAAGCAAACATTTTGCATTCGAGAACTCAAACAGTAGAAAAGGGGTGTGCACAAGACAAGCTGGACACGTAGAATCGTATCGTCTTTCTGACTGAGAAATATTGCAGATGCAATATAATGCATCTGTCATCAAAGGGCAGCTCAGGTAGGTCCAAGTTGAGCTTATCAGCCTGTATTCAGTTGTGAGCCATTGAAGGTTATAGCAGGAGTGTCTCTCATGCTTCATTGTGAACTCTC